CCCCCCCCCCCCCCCCCCCTGCATCCGGGCAGGCTCCGCGCATCTGGGACCTGGAGCCCCGGACAGCACTCACCCCAGCCAGGGGTCCAGGTAGCGCCGGAGCCGCCTCACCACCTCACTGCCCTCCTGCTTGGACACGAAGGCTGTGGACAGAAAGGCAGAGACCGGGTGGCTCTGGGTCTGGGGGCAGGGCCGGCACCCCTGCGGGCCCAGCCCCCCCCACCAGGCCCTGCCACGTACCTGCACCCCTGCCTGACTGGGCACGGCTGGGCTTCGCATCTGCAAAGGAGAGGGACTTGTTCACCCCTGCTCATCCCAGGGGGCCTCCCCTCCTCTCCCTGCATGGGGACTGAGGCTGCGGGAGGCGGTGGGCCCCGGAGGCGCACGGTGAGGGGGGCCGGGGCGGGGGTGCGGGCGCTACCTGCGGGGCCGGCTGGGCAGAGGCAGAGCGCGGCCAGGGCCAGCAGGGCCGGGAACATCAGGGGCCTCATGGCGTGGCTGTCCGTGGCCGCCAGGGCTGCTGCTGCGCAGGCTGGTCTGCCTCCCCCTCCGGCACCATTTATACCCTAGGCTGTGCCCCGGAGGCGAGGGTGGGTCACAGGGGGATCTGCCAGGGCTATTTGGGGGTCATCCGCCCCAGCTCTGTAGGCCAAACCCCAAAGGATGTTGTGGTTGGAGCCACAGCTGCCTGGCCAGGCCCCTGGGAGTGATGGAGGAGGGTGGGCCCCGGCCTCTGGACAGGCCCGGCTCCTCCCCACGGGGGTCCCCTCAGGTCCCCCAGCACCAGCTGGGTGGAGTAGGAGGGGCAGGAAGGGAGAGAGGGGGGCTCGAGGTCTAAAATAGACTCCAGTAGAGCCGGGCTGTGGGTCTAAGACTGTGATTTCCAGCGTCGGGCCGTAGGCAGGAGCCAAGCCCCAGGGTGGGAGTGCCCGAGGCTGCGGTGCCCTCGTTGACCCGGAGGCACCCCCCACCCAACTCCCACAAGACTCCGGGGGCGGGGGCTGGTGTAGGGGCAGCTCTGCGCTGCTCAGGCTTCCTGTGGCAGGACTGGAACTCAAAGCCAAGAGAGGTGGGTGGGGGAGCGGAGAGACCGAGACCGGACGGCTCTTCTGTCTGGGGCGGTGGGCACCCGGGCCCGTGCCCCTCGCGTGTGGGGAGGCAGAGCCAGCGAGGAGCAGGGAGAGGGCCCGTCCGCCCGGCCGTATAGCCTCCCCAGTGTCAATTGGGGGGACCTGTCTCCCAAGAGACCTCCAGCCTGAAAACGCCCGTCCCAGCACCCCCGGGGGTCCCGCCCGGAGGGGAGGGGGTGTGGTCACGCGAGGCCCACTGCGGGTGGGGGCCTAACCCCATGTCTGGATGCTGAGCTCCACTGGGCTCAGTTCGGGGCGGCAGGTGGCAGTGAGGGCCACCCTGATACCCCAGCGTCCCCAGCGCTCCCACACAGACCCCACCTGGCTTCCCTGGGGCGAGGCTCTCCAGGGAGAACAGCTCTGTGCCCTGCCTGTACCCACCCCCTCACCGCCCATCCTGCCCGGGCCCGAGTCCCTCCTGATGCCCCGCTGAGCCCTGGCCGGGGAAGGGGGCAGAGTGCCAGCTGCGCGGAGGGCACACCCGCTCACCGTGTGCAAACCCCAGGGCAGGCGGGGGCAGCACGGAGCCCAGACGGCAGAGAGGGGTGGACCCCAGGGGTCCCGGCTCCCCTCCTGCACCTGACGTCGGCCTCTGAGAGCAGGAGGGGCCGTGGGCCAGCAGAGGCAGGGAGAGGCCGGCGGAGGAAGCGTCCGCACAGATTACAGGGCACAAGTGCAGGAAGTTTATTTACGGATGTGGGGAGAGCCCGGCAGCCGCTGCAGGCTGGCCGGCGGGGCGGCGATCCGTGGAGAAGGAACGCTGGCGGGGGCCCAGGGGCAGGCGGGGCCCCGACCCCCGGGATGGGGGCTGGCCAGCGGGCCTCCAGTTACAAGACTGGGAAGGACATGAAGTGGGGGCGGGGGAGGGGAAGGCCCCCCGGGCCCCCCAAGCAGGACAGGCCTCATCCTCCAGCTAATTCCACGCCTGCGCAGGGACTGGGCGTCACGGCGAGGCTCTCAGAGGCCAGGCCCTCGACCTCAGCTGCCCTCTGCTCCTGGCCCGGCCGTCGCCTCCTCACTCGGGCTCCCCGAGCACAGCCACCAGCTCCTTCTGTTCTCTGTGCAGGGCCTGGCAGCGGCAGGAGGGGACAGATAGGTGAGAAAACCCAAACCCTCGGCCTCTACCCGACTGGCTCCGGACCTGTGTCCCCAGGACGGCACGGAAGGGGGTCTCGGCTCATGTCACAGGCCCCGCAGGGCATGTCAAGGCAAAGGCCTGTTGGGGCGCCTGGGGGCTCAGTCGGTTGAGCATGTGACTTCGGCTCAGGTCAAGATCTCACAGTTCGTGGGTTCGGGCTCTGTGCTGACAGCTCAGGGCCTGGAGCCTGTTTCAGAGTCTGTGTCTCCCTCTCTCTCTGACCCTCCCCTGCTCATGCTCTGTCTCAATAATAGATAAACATTAAATTAAAAAAAAAAAAGGCCTATTAGGAAAGTACCTTCTATTCAGTGGGTGTTCATGGTAGGCTGAGGGTCAGCCACCGACACGGGGCCTCCCCAGAGTAGTCGCCATCTTTTATTTTTTTTTTTAATGTTTTATTTATTTCTGAGAAAGAGACAGCGTGAGCAGGGGAGGGTCAGAGAGAGGGAGATACATAATCTGAAGCAGGCTCCAGGCTCTGAGCTGTCAGCACAGAGCGTGACGCGGGGCTCAAATCCAAGAACCATGAGATCATGACCTGAGCCAAAGTTGGAAGCTTAACCGACTGAGCCCCCCAGGCGCCCGAGTCGCCATCCTGAATAAGGGCCCCCGACGTGTCCCTGTGACCGTGTGACCCCCATCAGCGATTCCTAGTGGAGGAATCGAGCAGCATGCACTTGCAGCTGGGCCGGGTGAGGCGTGGCTGGCTACAAGCAGGGCGCAGACCGAAGAGTGACTTGCGGCTTCGCGGTGACAGAGGGGGAAGGGCGGGCGGCTCCTTGGCTGAGGACACAGCAGGTGGCCCCAAGGTGCCCAGGAAACAGCGCCAGGCTGAGGGCCCTGGTCACCAGAACGCTCCAGTCTGCTGCCTGGGGCCCTGCGGCCAGGGAGGGGTGATGACGAGGAAAAGGCCAGCCCCTGGCCCTCCCCCTGCTGCTGGCCCTCCAGGGCTCGGGGCCCTGCTGCCCTCGGCCACAGGAAGGCCCGCCCCAGGAGGGGAGCCGCAGAAGGAGAGAGGACACAGGCTGGACGGCGGGACAGCAGCGGGAGTCCAACAGCGCGGGCAGGGCTCAGGCCAGGCGGCAGCCCTCTGTCAGAGCCACGTCTTGACCGGTAAGAAAACCCACGTCGTCTCTACGGCCGCGTCCGCTCCCTGGGTCATCAGCCCGGGCACCCACTCACCTGCTTAGCCCCAGGGGACGGGGGCCACTCCCTCCCAAAGATCCGGTCACCCTCAGAAGACACGGCTGTTGCAGGAGCACATGTCTGACGTGCCAAAGGCTCGAGCCGGCACTGCCGCGCACGTTTCCGAGCCACTGGGGCGCGGGGCTGCGGAGGGCCGCCCTCCCGGGAGGCGCCGGCGCTCACCTGCCAGGCCTGCTGCCGCGCCTGGCCCCGCCGCTGCAGCTCCCGCACCTGCCGCCGCCCGGCCGCCACGGCCTCCGCCAGCCGCCTGCTCTCCGCCTCCTGCCTGCGCACCAGCCGCCGCAGCGCGTCCCGCTGCTGCAGGAAGTAGGGCACCAGGGTGCTGCGCAGGTCCGCCGCCGGGGTCCCGCTCGGGCGCCTGCGGGGATGGGGTGGTGCGCATGGTGACCCGCCCCCCGCACCCCCCCGCTCCGCACGGGCCCCCCGTCCGTGGAACCACAGGAGCCCACTCCTCAGACGGCAGTGGGGAGGCCGCCGCAAGGGTTGGGCACCGGGGGAATTTGAGGAAGACCCAGGTCTGGAGGCAAGAGCGGGGCTGGGGGGGGGGGGCTTGAACTCGCCAAGAGAGGGGGGCGGGTCTGATGTGCAGCGGGGTGGAAGCCACTCCAAGTTCTCCAAAAATGTGTTTCTCAGTTAGAAAACTTCATTCTCTTAACTATTAAGGTCACAGGCATAAAAAAAAGTGGAAAGCACGAGAAAGGTGTTTTGTCGCTCTGGCCTAATGTGCTGTTCAGGCAGGGAGAGTAGGGGGGAGGCAGGAGATAGGGGCGCCTCTGCTCTGCTCGGGACACCCCGGGAACGCGGCCCCAGGCCGTAGGTCTCCGTGTCTAGTTTGCTGCTGATCTCGGGGTGCGGGGGTGTTCCCTGAGGGGTCGTTAAGCAGACGAACAAGTAGAAACCAGATGCCCGGGGCCAGCCTGACAGAAGACGGCTGGTCTGCCCTTCTGCTTCCTGCTGACCCCCTGTGCCCTGCGGGTCCTGAAATGAGCCCCTCTCAACAGGAAGGCTTCCATCTGGGCTCCCCTTCCCAGAGGGCACCACGCAGTGGCTGTGCCCTGCGTCTCACGCGTGCGAGGCCTTCATGGAAGGCCCTTCCGGAGGCTGGGGGGCGGCCTCCGCCCGCATGAGCCTCGCGAGCTGCGCTGCTCACCAGGCCGGCTCCCTGTGGTCTTCGCCCTCCGCCACGATCTTATCCAAGGCGTTCAAGACGGCTTCCAGGTTCCCCTCTGCCTTGAGCTCGGAGATTTCATCCTGGAGAGAAAGCAAGGCTGTGAGGACAGCAGCCGGGCCCGCGGGGAGAACACGCCCAGCTGCCCGGGCGCAGTCTGTGCCTTTGTGCCGCACGCCCTTCTCTCCACGGGGCCTTAATACTGAACAACAGAGTCTAAAATGGAAAACATCTGAAAAGAGCCTGCCCATCAGCCTCGACGCTGCAGCCCCGGGCCCAGCACAGCCCGAGCCGGTGGCACAGACACAGCGGGTGCTTCCGGGCCCCCTGGAGCGTGCTGGGGGGAGGGACGGAGCCCACGAGAGGGGTTGTGGTCACTTAAAGACCGGAGCACAGCGTCCTGTCCTGTGCCCCCTGTCGTACGCAGTCCCACTGAACTCAACAGTTTCGGCACCCCTTCCGTGCCAGGGGCTGGACCGGGCGCTGGGAACACGAAGACCAGAGGACCCAGCGGACCGGCAGCAAACACACAATCAACACGGGAGGGCGAGAGCAGGGGTGTCAAGGTGCCTGTCCCGGGGAAGGAAGGGGCGCTGCAGCAGCACGCTCTATGGGCTCTCGGCCACTCACCCGGACAGACGCCTGCAACTGAGTTATAAACTTGTCGTAGATCCGCTGTGTCACCTCAGGCTGCAGCTGGTAGAGGCGCTTGTAGCAGTCGCTGAATCTCTGGTAGCTGGCGGGGAGGAGAGCCGGCCCTCAGCACCTGCCAGGGCGCCCCCGCCTCCCATGCCAGGGCCCCGGGCCAGCCAAGCTCGCGTCGGCCCCGCCTGACCCCTCACTGTCTCCGTGCAGAGCTCCCGGTGAGCCAGGGGCCCCCCTCAGTGGTGGGTCGTGATGGTCCAGCCGCGGCGCATCAAACCTCGGGGACGGGGGACCAGCCACCCCCCCGCCCTGGCCACCTCCCGGGTGGTGCTGCCGCTGGTGTGGGCAGTGGTCCTGGAGAAACTCTGGTCGCCCCAGGCCCCTTGTTGGGCTGGGTTAGGGCGGGACGTGTGGGCTCTGCGAGGGGTCTCCTTCCTCCTCAAAGGAGCCACATGGGAAGGGACTGATGTCCTTTCCATAGGACGTGACCATATCCAGATGTCCAGCTCTTGGCCACTGCGGGGGTCCCCGGCCTGAGGACAGTTAATAGGCTAAGGAGGCAGAACAGAAGGAGGGAAAGAACTGGGGTCTCTGAGGACACGGTCAAGCTGCTGAAGACACCGATCTGGAGCCCCCTCAGACCATCAGAGCACCTCACCGCGACAGCCAGGGTGCCTGGGACACTTCGGCTGCCCGGCTCCCGTGCACAGACACGTCCCGGTGAGAGGAGCCCCTGCCTTTCCCTCCCCGCTCCTTGCTTTCTTGTCTCTCTCTACCTTCCCTCTCAGGCCCTTCCCCTTCTGCATGCTCTGTTGCCCACCCAGTGCTGGCCGCCCACCAGCTATGGGGCACGGGGGGGGGGGCACTGCAGGGGGCTGCCGAGGGGGTAGGGGAGGCCGCACGGCCCTCCTGGAGCTCGGGGCAGGGAGAGGGCAGCAAACACAGAAACTCATGTAAACGTGGTGACGGCCACTGTGGGGGGCGCTGTGAAGGAACAGGGTCACGGGCTTGAAGTGCTATGGGGGACGACCATTAGGCTGCGGGCAGGGCCGGGGGCTCGGTGACAGCCCCGTGACGCGGTGTTCCAATGACCTGCAGGACGCGTCCGAGCCAGCGAGTGCTCAGCCACACACAGGCCACGTCTGTGCTCGTCCGTGGGTCCAGACATTCCTGGGCTGTGTGGCCAGTCTGGGCTGGGGTCCCGGGAAGCCGGTGTGCAGCCCGTCCCCGCCCCCACCCCTCCCTGCCGGGGACTCACTGCTGGCCCTGGCCTCCCCACCCCGTTCCTGCCCCTGAACAGGGTCTGTGACACAGGTGACAAGTGAGCGCACACAGAGGCTTCCGAGGGACAGCCGTCACCTCTCCGGGAGGCCCGTGAACCACGAAATTACATAACCTGGCAGGAAGTTATGCTCAAAACAAGGTACTAACTACCCAGAACACACGACTTCCTAATGCTTCCACCGCACGTTCCACGCGCCGGAGGCCGCGGGCACGTCCCGTGCAGCGCTCCGTGCAGGCGCGCACCCAGCCGTCTTTCTGCAGCTGCAGTGTCTGCGCCTCGGGAAATGGCAGCCCAGTCCGGGGGCCGGCTGCAAGCCCCTGGCGGCCCCGCTGCGAGAGTCCGTCTCTCCCTGCTGGGGGGAGGGGTTTACACCTCAGCCATGGCGGGGGGCGCCCTTCCCCCTGGCGGGGCCCAGGCATCCTGCCACACAGCCTGGCTCACGAGGGATGAGGACGCAGGGCACCTGGCCAAGCGGGGCTGGAACCGAACCGGGTAATTGTGGCTTGGACACCGGACACCCTGTTCCTCCCGCCAGCCCGCGGGACGGCAGCGGGTCTGAGCTAGGCCACCTCTCCTAAGGGGCCTCCAGTGTCGCTGAGGCAGCCTTCCGGAGGGCCCGCTGGGCTCAGAGCTCAACAAAGGCAAAGCGCGTTCGCACGGAGGCCCGGACACAGAGCGAAGGTGGCCGGACGGGAGGCCGTGCTGGGGAGACCCTTGCTTCGGGTTTTCCCAGTCACTGCGGTCGGCGTCGCTGCCCTGCCTGCTGCACAAGTTTAAGGCTGCGTGGATGAGCAGGGGAGGGGCAGAGAGATGGGGAGACACAGGATCCGAAGCAGCTCCAGGCTGTGAGCTGTCAGCACGGAGCCCAAGTGGGGCTCGAACCCACAAACCGCGAGGTCATGACCTGAGCCGAAGTTGGATGCTCAATCCACTGAGCCACCCAGGTGCCCCTGGCCACAATTATTACTAATTTCAAAAGAACCGTCCCCACCGCCCCCTCAGAAGTGTCCGACAGTAAATGGGCTTCCCGACCCGGGCCATCGCCTCCCGGGCAGAAGGCACGTGCTGGGTAAATGCACCCCGGTGGCGACCCCACAGCGGGAACCACCCACTGGCCCACTACAGAGAAAAGGCTGAACTGTGCCCCCTCCCAAAGGGCGACATTTGTCATCGATGAGTTTCTTTTTCAACACAGAGATGACTAAATTAACTGGTTTTAATCTAGTTTTTCTCTTAGACTTTTTTTACGTTAATTTTTAAGTAATCTCTGCCCAACATGGGTCTTGACCTCAGAACCCTAAGATCACAACCCTCTCTTACTCTGCAACATCTGAGGCACCTTCACTGGTTTTGAACTCACTGGAAAAGCATTTCATTTACTGAACTAAAAACTCACTGCAAATTGAGTTATCAATTTTAAAAGTTAAAAGTTTAACTTTTTAAAAACTTGACTGTGAAATATTTAAGCCCAAAGTCCGGCCCCCGAGGTGTGTCAACCGGCCTGCCAGCGCCTGTTCGTGGAGCGGCCACCAGAGGGCGCCTGGCCCCAGCCCAGGGGGCACAGGAGCGGCCGGGCACGCTATGGTCCCAGTGCCAGCCCCCACCCCCAGGCACTTCTCCTCCCGAAAAATGCTCCCTGGGGACAGCACCAGTCTGTGACTGATGATGGCTGAGGCAGAAAGTTATCTTGTAAAAATTAATCTTAAGGGTTAAGCTGGCTCAGTCCGGGGATTGCACTTCACCTTGACTCTTCATCTCGGGGTGAGTTCAAGACCCACCCTGCGTGTAAAGATTACTTAAAAAAAAAAAAATGTTTTATTTATTTCTGAGAGAGAGAGAGAGAGACAGCGTGAGCAGGGGAGGGTCAGAGAGAGAGGGAGATACAGAATCTGAAGCAGGTTCCAGGCTCTGAGCTGTCAGCATAGAGCCCAATGTGGGGCTCGAACCCATGAACCGTGAGCTCATGACCTGAGCCAAAGTCAGACACTTAACCGACTGAGCCACCCAGGCGCCCCTAAAGATTACTTAACTTTTTTTTTTTACATGTTTTTTTTTTTTGAGAGACAGAGCGATAGAACACAAGTGGGGGAGGGGCACAGAGAGAGAGGGAGACACAGAATCCGAAGCAGGCTCCAGGCTCTGAGCTGTCAGCACAGAGCCTGACACGGGGCTTGAACTCATGAACTGTGAGATCATGACCTGAGTGGTCGTTGGACACTTTAACCCACTGAGCCACCCAGGCATCCTGTAAAGATTACTTTTTTAAAAATCTTGGGGCGCCTGGGTGGCTTAGTCGGTTAAACGTCCAACTTTCGCTTAGGTCGTGATCTCGTGGTTCGTGGGTTCGTGCCCCGCGTCGGGCTCGGTGCTGACTGCCAGCTCAGAGCCTGGAGCCTATTTCAGAGTCTGTATCTCCCTCTCTCTCTGACCCTCCCCTGCTCAAACTGTCTCTCTCTCTCCTAGAAATAAATAAAACATTAAAAAAAAATCTTAAAAAATAATGGGGGGCCTGGGTGGCTCAGTTGGTTAAGCGTCTGACTTCGGCTCAGGTCGTGATCTCATGGTTCATGGGACTGAGCCCCGCACCAGGCTCTGTGCTGACAGCTCAGAGCCTGGAGCCTGTTTTGGATTCTGTGTCTCCCTCTCTCTCTCTGCCCCTCCTCCACTCATGCTCTGTCTCCCTCTGTCTCAAAAATAAACTTTTTTAAAAATCTAAAAAAAAATAAAAAAATGAAAATTTTAATTAGGTCTTTAGTTTTTATGCCCCTTGGGCTAACCTAACCTTTTATTATTTGGATTCTTTAGCAACTACTAGAAGCTTAATAGTGAGAATCTGAAATTGTGATACTTTTTCTGAAAAAGACTTTTTTTCAATATGATTTTTGTTTATTTTACACAAAGAGTGCAGAGGAGGAGAGGGGCAGAAGAGAGAGAGAGAAAGGAGAATCTTAAGCAGGCTCCACACTCAGTGGGGAGCCCAACATGGGGCTCCATCCCGTGACCCTGAGATCATGACCTGAGCCAAAATCAAGAGCCAGATGCTCAACCCACTAAGTCACTCAGGCGCCCCAGAAAAAGACGTCTTCTGATTTGATAAATACCTGCATGCAGACAAAATTTTCCATCAAGATAACTGTACAATAGCCCCCCTTACCCATGGGGGATACGTTCCAAGACCCCCAGTGAGTGCCCAAAGCTGCAGACGGTACCGAACCCCACCCCCACCTATGATAAAGTCTTACTTCTAAATTAAGACCCGTAAGAGATGAACAGCAGCATAAACACAGTTGTTCTATAAACATCCTGATAGAGTACACTGTGCTGCGTCACATGACTGCAGTCTCTCTGTCTCTCAGTATCTTGTAAGTTTCTTTTTGGTGGGACAGAGGGATTTACTGGGGTCTCCTGGGGGGGGGGGCTGAGATGGCTGGGCCTCGAATCACTTGTCAGAGGCCACCCAGGGACCACACGGGCAGTGACGAAGCCGGGGCAGCGTCAGGGCACGGGGGTGGCGGCGAAGGCGTCCTGGGCAGTCTGGGGTGCGTGGGGAACAGCCCTACTGCTTGTGGCCAGGACTCTGGTCACCGGATGGAGGTGGGGAGTCCTATGACACACTGGGCTCACACCTCCCTTGTCAAGGGCTTCGGCCGCCCAGAGCCTCAGGCAACAGGTGCCCGCCTCCCTGAGGGAGAGGTCGCTGCCAGTAGTGGTGTCGGGATCACTAGGAGGTCTCTCCCTCAGTGTGTGACTGCGCTGTGTTCACTCTCCCTCTTGTGATGAGGTCCAGTGATGAAATGCCTTCGTGA